TCATCGAAAAAGCAAGTCAGGAATTTCTCAAATGCTTTGCTTTTTAGCAGAGAGAGAGGAAGAGAGACAGACAGAAACAGAGAGAGTGCTACAAGTCTTTTAAAACATTTTGCAGATTTTTTTTTCTAGAAAACATCTGTGGAAGTATGACACTATGCATTTCATTATCATGACCCTTTAAGATCATTGGTTTGAAAAGATTTTTCATATCTCAAGTTCAAAAATGTATTTACTGCCATTTCATAGAGGGGCTTGTGTGATTAGGTGCCTTGTTTAATGTTTAGAAATCTTGTGAGTTAAGAGTTTTTGGACAAAATCCAAGAAGCTATTCTTTGTCAACCTTCAGCCATCTTTTGGGCTCTTCCTGGGGTTTGCTTTTATTACTAATGTCACTGGGGGAAATGTTGTATATCAAGCACATCTCTTGTTTGCTGGAGCAAATTGATTATGCCAGGTCATCACTAAAAGACAAACTTCAAAAACCCTTCTGAAATGAAAAATATAACTCAGATATTTAATACTTGAAAGCAGTAATATTCATTCCTTATGAGGAAAGAATGATAGTATTACACATTTAAAAAGGCCTATGCAGAAAATATAAAGAAGAGGTATATGTAGATTTGGGGGAAATGTCCTATATACATCCTTTGGGGTTTTTTTATTTATTCAGAATTTTGAAAATAATTATTAAGCACCTATTGGGTATAGAACAATATTATGAAACATTGAGTGAGATAAAAATCTTCAGTGACTAGCATTGTAGGCTTAACGTATTATTCTGTTTCCACTTGAAGACCTTCAGTTACGGGAGAACTCATTACCTCCAAAGTCAGCTCATTCCATTGTGATAGTAATTATTAGGATGTTTTTCCTTGTATGGAGGCAAAATTTTGCTTTTCTACAACTTTTACCCACTGGGCCTAGTGCAGCCTTATGGGCCCAAGTGGAATAAGCCTATCCACTTTCCACATGATCTCTTCAGATTATAGCAGAGTCCCTCCCTCTGTGGAAAGGGTGGTGATTGCCTTTATGCAATACAAAATTGCATGTAACATGGGGACCTGGAAGTCTCTGAAATGTCTGACTCTATTGGCCTTTTCTATTTTTCTTCGATTCAGAGGAGTCTTTTGAGTACATGATTCTGAAAGTCATGGCTTCAACCCCAATCCGATAAAATGGTTCCTGCTATCAGACTGTGTAGAAGATACCAATCTGATAGCAAAGACATTTAGTTAATATACCAAAGCAGTCTAAACAAGGTAGGGATAAAAGTATCAAAGTCTTCTCTGCCTCATAAACCAATGGGTGCAATTGCCTCAGATGGGGTAATAGGATAGAAATTTCCCAAAGAAAACTTTATGAGGGGATGTAGAGACCTTGGATAGGGTAAGGAAACTGTCAGTTAGTTCTCAGTGCCCAATAAGCATTCCCTTGGTGGCCAGGATGAATATCTACTAACTCTTGGGCAGTCTAGAATACACTTTTCAGGGGAAGTCTGGAGTCATCAGATTGCCCTAGGACCCCCACCCATGTCTCCACAGACTACAGCTTGTCTTTCTCTCTCCTCCCCTCTCCTCTTTTCCCCTCCCCTCTCCTCCTCTTCCTCTCCTCTCACCTCCTATCCTCTCCCCCCTCCCCCTCCTCTCCTTTTCTCTCCTCTTTTCCCCTCCCCTCTTCTCTCCTTCCCTTCCTCTTCCTTCCCCTTTTCCCTTTCTTCTCCTCTCTCCTCCTCTCCTCTCCCCTCCTCTCCTCTCCTCCACTCTCTCTCTCTGTCTCTCTCTCTCTCTCTGTCTCTCTGTCTCTCTCTGTCTCTTTCTCTGTCTCTCTCTTTCTTTCTCTCTCTCTCTCTCTCTCATTCCTCCAGTATTCTGGCTGTAGTTCATCTTCCTCTGATCAAAGCTTCTGAGAAGCACCCCAGCCAGGATTCCCTGGACCTGAGTCCAGTTGCTTTTCTATCACTATCTATCTCTATTCATTCCCATGGCTATAGCAACCAATCGACAACCATGTTTTAAGCTCCTTCTATGTGTTAAGAACTGTGCCAAGCATTAGTTGTGAAATAGCTCCTGCCCTCAGAAGGCTTAAATTCTATGTGGATAAAACATGTACCCACATACAAAATTAATATGGGGTAATTTGGGGAAGAGACAGCAGCAGCTGGGTGGATAGGAGGAGGTCAGGAAAGATCTCATTTAAGAGGTGGTGTTTGAGTTGAGCTTTGAAGGAAACTGGGAATTCTAAAAGGCAAAGGTGGGGAGGGGCTAAATTCTAGGCCTGGAAACTAGCCTTTGCAAAGGAAAGAGAAAATGCTGCTCATGAAAAACAGGAAGAAGGCCAGTTTGAATGGATTGCAGAGTGCAATAAAGGGAGAAATATAGAATAGACTGGGAAAGGTAGGTTGGATTTAGGTTGTGAAGGACTTAAAATGCCAAATAGAGAAGTTTCTATTTGATCCTAGATAGAGTAGGGAACCACCTGAACTTACTGACCAGGGAAGGGATGTTATCTGACTACTTTTTAGGAATATCATTTTGAGAACTGTGAGGTAGATGTATTGGAGAGGAGAGACTGGAAGCAGGGAGATGATTAGAAAGTGATTACACTGGTCCAGGGAAGGGGTGATGAGGGCCGGGCAGTTTTATTACTTTGGTCCACACCCCTTGTCCTTCTTAATCCAGGTGCAAAGCTCTCTAAGCATCTAAGATTTCTCTGCTGAAGCTATTGTAATTTCTTTCAAACATTTTGGATGGTGGTGAACCTGTGATTTCATCAGTTTTGATAATTCTTGGAGTGGAAATTTATTCCATCAATGCAGATTAGTAAGCCAGCTCTAATTTATTGGCATAGAGATTTCCCTGGGTCACTGAGAGGCTATGTATGACCTGTCTAGGGTCACACAGCTAGAGTATTCTAACTCTGTGACAAGTTCAAAAGAGAGTTGAAAACCAAGTATTCTTTGTGTTCTGGAGCTGGGGTGGGGATCATTATTGAGGAAAATCAGAGAAGTTGTTTTTTAATTCTGGTTCTGTGATTTACAGATTTATTTGTGGCTTAGCTGAAAAATGGAGACATTTCAGAAAGTGACTTGTAAGGTCTTCTCCAGGTGGACAGCAACTGAGTTGAAATTTGAACCCATTTTCTTAACCTCCAAATCCAGTGGTTTTTCCAACTAATCAGAAGATCTGGAATAAAGTCAGGGGTCCATCACTTTTTGACTTCAGTCAAGTCACTTTTCTTTTTGGAACCTTAGTATTCTCATCTGCAAAATGGGAATTATAATACTAGTGTTCTACTGGCTTTACAAGAAAATTGTGAGAAAAGTGCTTTGTGATCCTTAATGATGTGTATATACATATATATGTATACATATATCATATTATACCAGGCAATATGGTAGAAGGGTTGTTTAATGATAATTTTGTTCACTGTATGACCCCCACTTAGCTTCAGCAAGTTCCCATGAAGATAACAGGAGCTTATCAACATTTTTAAGACTTTCTTCTCCAAATGTCTTAATTCTTTAAAAAAAAAAAAGTCCTGTGAGTTCTGACTAAAAGCACAACAATCCATTGTCCAACTGGACTTATGGAGTGCTTCTGTTAGATCATGTATTTATTTTTCTGGGCTCTTTGGGATTTTTGAAGAAGGAGTAGTGTCTCAGTGATCAGGGGCTGAGAGATGCAATCTGATTGAGAACTAACTAGAAGTTGTATGGGGCTTACTTATACAGACTTAGGACCATTTAACTCAGCTTATGACCTCACCAGACACAACAGCATCAGTGGAATAAGGCCAAGTAAAAAGTAATTTTCCCACCTAACCATTATTTGTGTTGGCACCAGGGAAACACAGATTTTAGGAAAACACATGTGCAAGCAGCTGGAACAGGTTTAGAGGAGGCATTCCAATTGCAACGCACTCTTTGGGCAATGGGAAAATGGAATATTTGTCAAGGATCTCTTCTTTACCCATCTAAGAAGGCTATGTAGCCAAAAACATCTTATACTCCTTTCTATCTCACCACAACACTTCCAGTTTTAACTAAAAAATATTTTCTAATTCAACTTATTCACTTCCATGTGAATAATAATTTCCATGATAGGAACCAGTGATATAAGAAGAATTCATTCATTTACTGAAGTAACTGAGTGATCACTTGTTTTTTAGTCATTCAGCTGGGTCTGACTCTATGTGCCCATGAACTTTGTCTTGGGGTTTTCTTGGCAGAGATACTGGAGTGGTTTGCCATTTACTTCTTCAGCTCATTTTACAGATGATGAAACTGAGGCAAACAGGGTGAAGTGACTTGCCCAGGGACACACAGCTAGTGTCTGAGGCCAGATTTGAACTCAGGAAGAAGAGTCTTCCTGACTTCAGGCCCAGCACTGTATCCACTGTGTTACCTAGCTACCCATTTTGTAGCATACGCTGTCACTAAGAAGGCCAGTTCTGACTGGTTAATAGATTTCTAGGGATGCTTTTTTTCCCCCAAACATCTTTATGTACTGGTTTCCCTAGCTTCTTTTAAGTCCCAGCTAAAATCCTATTTTCTACTGGAAGACTTTCCCAACCTTCCTAATTCTAGTGCCTTCCCTCTGTTAACTATCTCCTATTTATCCTGTATAGAGCTTGTTTGTACTTATTGGTTTACTTATCATCTTCTTTCTTAGATTGTAAGCTCTTTGAGAGTAAGGTCTTTCTTTTGCCTCTTTTTGTATCCCCAGAGCTTAGCACAATGTCTGACACATAGTAGGCTTAATAACTTAATTCTTTAATTTAATTTAATAACTTAATAACACTTAATAACTGTTAATTGACTGACTCACTAAACACATTAGTTTGGCACTGTTGGAATTAGCATATACATTCATCCAATACAGTCATATTAAAGCACTACCAACCCATCTGTGACATTTGCATTACTACCAACACCAGTAGGACAAACCTCAAAAGCAAAGATTTCCTTGATTAGTCTTACACAGTATCTTTTTGGTTTTCAGAGAACAGATTCGCCAAGGCTTAGAAGAGCTACAAAAAGTCCTGCCTGGAGGAGACACGTACATGAATGAAGGGTTTCAAAGGGTAAATTTTTGAATAATTATAAAACATAAACATATGGAATTTTCAGGATAACACATTCTAGCCAGAGAAGACAGATGGATTAAAAGGCATATTCTTTTTAGAACTACCAAAGAAATAGCAACGACAATTTTGTTTTGCCTTAGGAGCTTGTAGACTGAACAGAGGTATCCAACATCTCTGGCCTATCTGACAGTGGTGGTGAAGAGCTCATTAGTTAATGCCAATCTTGGCAGACAGTAACAGCCCACAGGGAATTCCCACCTTTTCTCCAAAGGGATGTCTTCACAGGTTGATAAAATAAGGAACTTCATTTGATGAGAAAATGTCCTTCACTCCAGCATAAGTAAAAAGGGATCCCAGGTTCATGAAGAGTATGACCTAGATAATTAATCCAATGTGATTGTAGCCTCAGATCATCATCACTGATTAATAATGGGATGAGTTCTGGGTATGTAAGAGCCTCCATTCTGATTGTAGAGTCATATTCTGAGCTGTGTGCATAAGTATTGCATTTGAAATGCAAACCATGAATCTCTCTCTTATCATCCTATTCATATGTATTTCAGGCCAATGAGCAGATTTATTATGAAAATATTCAAGGTAAGAAGATATTATGAATTACTCAACTTTCATTTTTTTATTTGCTCCTAAAAACTGGTATCATGCACATATTCAACCTTATTCATGGTTCATATATGTAAACTTCATCCACAAAGAGGGTGGGAGGTATATAAGAGGATGAAAGACACTGGTTCAATTTGGCTGGTTCACATATTGGAAAATTCCCTTAAAAGTAGCAGAGAACCCAAACAATCACAGTAAGCAATTGCCATTTGGCTTTGTGCCTTGTTTTCAGGCATACTTTAGTAGACTTGTGTGCCTTGGATATCTGTTGCATGTGTAATTACCCTGACTAGAGTTGGCCACTAAATCTTTTTATCAGCATACTATCTGTCCTTTACATAGAGGGAATAGGATTTATGTGCATTAAACTTTTGCACAACAACTATTTTAGAGTGTGCATACAAAGCACTTTGTAAATGGGGGGGGGAGTAGAGGGAGGGATTGCTTAGTACTTATTATTTATCTGAGCAACTCTTTCACAGCCTGATTATTCCTATAAAAATTTAGCCATAGAGAAGATTCTTTCTTCCAGGGATATAGGATTGTCTATTTCAGCAGCTCTCAAAGTATCATCCCTGAAACCCTTTCAGGGGGATTGCTAGGTCAAAATTGTTTTCCTACTAATATTACAATGTATGGGGCAGCTAGGTGGTACAGCGGATAGAGCAACAGCCCTGGAGTCAGGAGGACCTGAATTCAAATCCGGCCTCAGACACTTGACACTAGCTGTGTGATCCTAGGCAAGTCACTTGACCCCAACTGCCTCACCAAAATAATAATAATAATAATATTACAATGTTATTAGCCTTAGTGTTAAAGCACTTCTCCCTTTTCTAACTACATGTCAATGTGAGAACAGATTTTCCTTATGTACTTCAATCAAAGCAACATAGTTCAGTAGACTGAATGCAGAAGCAGATATGAGAATACAGCTGCCTTCAAGGCAGATATTAGATTTGCAAAATTATTATGAAAATAATGTCTTTTTCTTACTATTTTTTATTTTAGACAATATTAATTTTTTTCATAAAATGTTAACATGTTATGTTAACACATAATAGGTTTGTTTCTGTTACTTTTAAATGAATTAATAAAAGACATTTTAATTTTTTTCAGTTTTAATTTATACTACAGTAAAATCAATAGATATAACTCATATAAAGAAAAGTCAAGGGAGTCCCTGGTAAGTTTCAAAAGTATAAAGGAGCTCTGGAAATAAAACATTTGCGAACCTACGGTGTGATCAATCTTTCCTCTTCAACTCAGTTCATAGGATTGTAAAGTAAGGGACCTTAGGATCATCTAGGCCAGCACCTTCCTTTTATTATTTCATTCCAAACTACAACATGCAGACACATAGCAATACTAGCCAGCCACTAACACTAATGTTATATAGATGAAAATCTCTGGAAACATCTCGTGGGTTTTGATAGCTGCTGCAAGGCCCTATATATTTTACAGTCAATTAATTCAGTTAGTGCAGAGATACCCTACAGTATTATTATTATTATTATTACTACTACTACTACTACTACTACTACTACTACTACTACTACTACTA